AAAAAAAGACTAACAAAGAAAGCGAGACAGAGAAATGGAGAGACACACACGATCATGGGGTGGGACAAGCTATGACCTTGGTGAGAGAAGAACAAAACTAGGCAAGCTTCTTAATCCCCAACACAGTGGTTGAAACAGAGTCCTAGATTTTTCGCTTCACATTACAAAGTCAACATTCTCTTCATTCAGACAAATAAGGCCATTCAAAGGCAGAAAAACAGAAAGGAAAGTATCTCTCATCAGCATATGCCTATTATTGAAGTCACCTTAATTTTAGCATATACTGCTACAGCACTTTGCTGAATACTGAAGCCTCAGACACCAACCTATCACTCCAATTGCAATGACCGCTTACACATGTGGGTAGGGGAAGGGAAAGGGTGCAGAGGTAGAAAAAGGTAGAATGGACTGCTAGTGAGGGAAGGGGAAAACAATTTTCCTCCTTTAGAGCAGGATATTTCAAGTTATATCAGGGAAACATGGAACTGTGTTTTTAATAAAAGTAAGTTAAATATAGAGCTATAGTGTGCTAATTCTACAAATCACAAATGAGCCTCCAATCTACATATTTGAGATTATGGTGAAATGCTGGAAATGTGTTTAGACCACGGTTACAGTGAGAAGAGCACCTATAAAAGTGTTAATCCATGCCTGCTGAGAATGGGTCTTCTAAGTGATAATTTATTTAGCGTTTTGACAAGAGCTTAATTGCACCTCCAGACTATTATATTAACACAAGAATTCCCATACCAGAGTGGACCAAATGGTTTATTTTATTCACTACCATCGCTCCAACAGTTGAATACACAGAGCACATTAGAGGAACCTTTCTAATACCTGATAAATTTTGAAATACCATACTAAGGGCAAAAATTTCTCCCTAAAACCAGATGATTAAGGCAATTTGAGTTCAATTCCAGCTGTGCCACATTCGTCCTTTGACCTTAGGCAAGTCATTTCACCTCTTTGCGCACCAGTTCCCCATCCACTAAATGGAGATAACACTTTCTCCCACACTTTGCCTTTATTTAGGCTGCAAACTCATTGGGGCAGGAACTGTCTCTTACTACATGTTTGTATAGTGGCTAGCAGAATGGGGCCATGAACTCAGTTTGGGGTGTCTAGGCGCTCCTCTAACATAAATAGCAATACTTAACCAATGTTTCACAGGTTAAGGGAAGCTGTGATGCTGGAGGTGCTGTCTTTTGACCAAGACATAAAACCAAGGCCCTGACCACTTGTGGTCACTAAAAACCGAGGGCACTTCTCAAGAACCAGAATTGGATGTCCCAGTCAAATTCCAATTTGGAAACTGCATTCTGCCCTCCTCTGCTGGTTCTATTAGCAAATGCATTCTTCACTTCCTGTTCAGAATTACAGCATAACTGTGCAGTATTAACCAGCTGCTACATTCCACCCTGCAGGTAGCTACATTTAAGTGACAGGTGAAGTAGTCCTTCTATAGCTCTAATCTACTCCATAAGGATGTTGAGAATTAACATTTGTAAAGTACTTCAGAGGGCCAGAATTCAACGGTGGTATAGAAGTATTAAATGCTTTTGAAATATCTTACTTCTCTATTTGCCTCAATAGGAAAGCTTCCAGAGAGCAAGCTGAATTCTCTCCTGTCGCACACAACAGTAAAATTGCAAGATTAAGCACCAGTTCCAGATTTTTATTGTTGACATTCATTCATACCAAAAACTACAGCTTTTTGGGCAGCAGATTGAGTTTATAGTACTAACAGTTAGGAAAGAGGCTTTTTAAAAATGCCAGGGTTATAGAGATCACTTAGTGAGAACAAACAGGAAACCGTTTACATCATATTTCTGCTCGCTCTTCTGACCAGAAGAAAGATTTAAGTAGAATTGCTGAGTGACACCTAAGGGCTGCTGCTGAGTCACAGCTCACTAGTGAAGCCACATGCCTTAAAACAAAAATTATTAAAGACCACTGATTTTGTTACTTTGACAAGCCAGATTCAGTTTTAACTTTAGTTACTAAACAAGTAGGAGCATCTCAATGTCAGCTTTCATGCATTCAATGCTTTAAATTCACAACCAGTACTGAGAATCAAGCACTTGTTGAAGTGCCCCTGCAACTGCAAACCCCTCCTCCCCACGCAAGGAGAATCCCATCTTATTTCTTTAAAAGCAGGGGGCTTTGCTATGGGCCAGAAGAGATGAGTAAAGGCAATCTGAAATGCTACCAGAGATATAAGTGATGGGAGTGGCTTCTGAAGCTTTGTCTACATCGGGGTACGCAACCTATGGCATGCGTGCCAAAGGCAGCACGCGAGCCGATTTTCAGTGGCACTCACACTGCCCAGGTCCTGGCCACTGGTCTGGGGGGTTCTGCATTTTAATTTAATTTTAAATGAAGCTTCTTAAACATTTTAAAAAACTTATTTACTTTCATACAACAATAGTTTAGTTATATATTATAGACTTACAGAAAGAGGCCTTCTAAAAACGTTAAAATGTATTATTGGCATGCGAAAACTTAAATTAGAGTGAATAAATGAAGACTCGGCACACTTCTGAAAGGTTGCCGACCCTGGTCTACATTAAGAATATTTGCAACAGTTGACATTACCAAATTAGGTTACACTGGTATAAATCCACTTAGCATTTGTGCAGCCCATCTGCCTGAGGGATTTGCACTGACATAACCAAATCAATGTAGTTACACTGGTGCAAGATTTTTTAAGTGTAGACAACTTCAAGGCCCAAGCCCACTTTCCCACAGCAGAAAGAAAGGTCCACAAAGAGGCAGGAAGGAATCTGACATAAACTGGCAACATTCTTGCTGCCCCCACTCAGATCCTCTGGTTCACTAAACCAGACCCTGGAGGTTTGGGAGATTATAACACCTTTAAAAAAAAATCCCTCCCTACAGCAGTATTCAAGTAAAGCCACTGATGAAGCTCAACATGAGGCAGACAGTATGCAAAAAGGTGGGGTGGGGGGAGGAAAGGAGCAGAGGCCACACATATGGAGATATGGAGGGGGGAAAAAAATAGATCAGAGTACATGAGGGGAGTGAACAAATAAAATCCAAGAGGAACAAAAAAAGAGCCCCAGAGGAGAAATCAAGATGAGGCAGGGTGGAAGAGATGAAAATAAGAGTATTGAAGGTACTTTCAGCTACCAAAGCAGTTTACAGTGATAATTAGATAGCTTAGAAACTCAGATATATAATTCCTTCTTAAGTTTGTTATTATTGCTCTGACCCCACCATTTGAAAAAATGAAGGGGAGTGGTGGAGGGAGGGGAAGAGAAATATAATCTAGAATCATAAACCAACTCACTTTTTTGTTTTTGTTTTTTTCCCTCTCTTTTTTGCAAGGGGGTAGTGAATTAGATCGGTCAGATTCAGGCAGGCGGCAAAGTCACACAATGCAACTTTTCTTTCAAAGACTCAGCGTCTAGTACTTTAGCCTAATGGCTATTCTGCAATTTGGTTTTCTTAAACAAGCCAGAGTGGAACTCTGCGAGCACATCAAAGTTGCAAACGTATTGTTTCAACCAGATCAGACTCACTACAATCGACTGTAGAATACTGTGAACAATGTATTAAATTTGTAACATGTTGGTGGGTTAAATGAAGGATACAAGTCCACTCAGTTTATATAAGTGTACAGTGAAAGTTACAAGTATTTGCATAATAGGTAAAAAGAATCAAAGATAGTATTTTTGGACTAACTACTAGAGTGAACAAAATTGTCAGAAAAAGCTTACCCAAACTGTGTTGTTGTCAGCACTTCTCCTCTCTCCTCTTTTTCTATCTGTAATGCTTTCTTCTTTTCAATGTTTGCCAACGTAGGAAAGTTTCTAGAGCAAATAAATATATATGTTTTTAAAATGTTTTACACACCCCTGCTCTAACCCACATTTGCATTATGAACAGCACAGGAAAGATTTAGTTGCACACACAAAAAAATGAAATATTAAAATCAAATTGTTTCCTCCTGAAGCAGGGATTGGTAAGAATAATACATATACCTCTACTCCTACATATGTAGGTGCAGATGGACCTTGAAGTGCAGAAGCTTTTTACACACACACCCTCTATGATAGCATAGGATTATGCCCTACAATTTTTTATTTTAAGTGTTTCATCCAATCTAGTTTTAACTGTCTTAAAGGTACAATATATGTTTAGCAAGATAGTCTCATCCTCCATGTGAAAGAGTTTCTGCTTATCAGTCTCATTGACGTGGGGTTTTGAGATGAAATAAAAAACAAAAGTGTATCACAAAAACAGTCTCTGGATGCATATTCAGCCACAACACTTTCAGTATCTAGATGTCATTGCTCTGTCAAGCACTTTGAGACCGCAAAAGGCTATACATAATAATCTAATTCTATTCTGTTCTTTAGGAGAGTAATTCAGGTCATTAACATTTTATAAGTCTATTAAGATGGAAGAGTGAGAAGCCTAGAACAGCTATACATATATATTATCAAAAACAGTCTTCAGACCTAAATATTTAGTCTTGTCACACTCAACTCCTTTTATTTTATAACAGCAGAAGTTAAGTGCTAAAAAGTCACACTGATGCAAGACAAGCTGAAGGACAAGGATGGAAAAAGCAGAAGTGGTTTCTGAAACACCTGTCTTGAACAGAAACTCTGGTATTAGGAGGTTTTCACAGATCACGCTTAGATTCATTTTTTCATAGATTCCAAGGCCAAAAGGGACCACTGTCATCATCTAGTCTAATTTCCTCTATAACACTCCCCCAAATAATCCCTCTTTGAACTAGAAACTTTCTTTCAGAGAAGCATCGAGTCTTGATTTAAAAGTTGCCAGTGATGGAAAATCCACCAAAATCCTTGGTAAGTTGTTCCAGTGTTAATTACCCTCAACTCACGTACACCTTATGGTCAGTCTGAATTTGTCTAGCTTCAACTTCCAGCCACTGGACCTTGTTATACCTTTGCTAGATTGATGAGCCATTCAAAACACATTCACTGTGCCATTTATTTATTATGAAGAGATGATTTTTAAAAAAATCTTTCAAAGTATTGACTGGTAATAGGATATGAAGCCTGTTACCTTCAGGTCACCAGTTCAAGTGCAGCCTAGATTGCTAGTCACCAGAAGTCACAATATGATGGCTATTCAGTAGCCTATATGCAAAGTAGGCAACATCAGTCCAGACCCTAGTGGGAAGGTGCCCACATTTCAAAAACTACAGTCACACTTAGCTTCTTTGTTGGCAGAGAGATCAAGAAATGAAAAAGCATAGATAACTACACGCTTACGGAGACAATCTTTCCACGTCAGTGCTGGGGCACATTTCTGGAAAAGCTTAAACTTTTGAACATGCCATACAGATTCTGAAAGCTTCAGTGCCCAAGCTTGTCCACAAAGTACCCAAACTACAGAAAAACAAATCTTTCTGGCAGAGATCTTAAGAACATGAGAACGGCCATACTGAGTCAAACCAATGGGCCATCTAGCCCAACATTGTGTCTTCCAAAAGTGGCTGGTGCCAGATGCTTCAGAGGGAGTGAACAGAACAGGACAATTTATTGAATAATCCATCCCCTATCATCCAGTCACAGCTTCTAGCAGTCAGAGGTGTAGGGATATCCAGAGCATGGGGTTGTGTCCTGACCATCTTGGCTAATAGTCCCTGGTGAACCTATCATCTGTAAACTTACCTAATTCTTTTTTTAACCCAGTTATACTTTTGTCCTTTACAGCACCCCCTGCAACAAATTCCACAGGTTGACTGTGCACTGGGTGAAGTAAAACTTTCTTTTGTTTGTTTTAAACCTGCTGCTTATTCATTTCATAGAGCAATGTCTGGTCCTTGTGTTATGTGATGCGATAAATAACACTTTCCTATTCACTTTCTCCACACCATTCATGATTTTATAGACCTCTATCATATCCCCCCTTTAGTCTGTTTTAGCAGCTGAACAGCCCCAGTCTTTTCAATCTCTCCTCACATGTTCAATACTCATAATAATTTTTGTTGCCCTTCTTTGTATTTTTTCCAATTCTAATATATTGTTTTTTTGAGATGAGTAGACCAGAACTGCATTCAGTATTCGAAGTGTGAGCATACCATGGATTTATATAGTGGCATTATATTTTCTGTCTTATTTTCTATCCCTTTCCTAATGGTTCCTAACACTGTTGGCTTTTTTGACTGCTACTGCACATTGAGCAGATTTTTCAGAGAACTAACTCACTCACTCCAAGATCTCTCGAGTGGTAACAGCTAATTTAGACCCCATTATTTTGTACGTATAGTTGGGATAATGCTTTCCAACGTGCATTACTTTGCATTTATCAATACTGAATTTCATCTGCCATTTTGTTGCCCTGTCACCCAGTTTTGTGAAATCCCTCTAACGCCTTACAATCAGCTTTGGACTTAACTATCTTGCATAATTTTATATCATCTGCAAACATAGCCACCTCACTTGTTTACCCCCTTTTCCAGATCATTTATGAATATGTTGAACAGAACTGGTCCCAATACAGATCCTTGGGGAACCCCACTATTTACCCCTCTTCAGTGTGAAAACTGACCAAGATTCTTTCCGATCTTTTAAACAGTTAATGAACCATGAGAGGATCTTTCCTCTTATCCCATGACTCCTTACTTTGCTTACAAGCCTTTGGTGTGAAACCTTGTGAAAAGCTTTCAGAAAAATCGAAGTATACTATATCCACTGGATCACTCTTGTCCACATGTTTGTTGAAACAAAAAATTCTAATGAATTAGTGAGGCATGATTTCCCATTATAAAAGCTATGCTGACTCTTCACCAACATATTGTGTTCATCTGTGTGTCTGATAAATGTGTTCTTTCCTATAGTTTCATCCCATTTGCCTGGTACTGAAGGTAGGCTTACCAGCCTGTAATTGCCAGGATTGCCTATGGAGCCTTTAAAAAATACCAAAAAAATCTGATGTTACCTTAGCTATCCACCAGTCATCTGGTACAGAGGCTAATTTAAGCGATAGGTTACATATCATACTTAGTAGTGCTGCAATTTCATATCTTAGTTCCATTAGAACTCTTGGGTAAATACACTCAGGTCCTGGTGATATATTACTGTTTAAATTTATCAATTTGTTCAAAAACCTCCTCTGACAACACCTCAATTTGGGTAAGTTCTTCAGATTTTTCACCTAAAAAGAATCTTGTAAAGAAGTTCAAGTTAAGGAAGACTGCTTCCTGTATAAGCATAAATGCCCTATCAAGTCAAGAAAAGGGTAGTTGGGGAGGAGGGCGGGGAGAAACACTCCTCTAAGCAGAGAGAGTATCTGCACTATAGAGGCATCTCTTCTCTTTTCCCAAGATGAACTTGTTTTTGATTTACAGACTGTTAACATTTCTCAGGGCATATGTCCAAAAATTTGGACAAAAAACAAAACAGTTTTTGCCTCTTTTTCAAAGGGTAGTAGGACAAGGGCATTCTCCCCCCGCCCCAATTAATCACCAGTCAAAGAGAGAGACTCAAAAAACAAGGAAGGGCCTTAAAAAGGTCAGGTACAGGCTCTGTCCAAGCAGTGGAGAAAAAGCACATTCCAGTATCTAAGCGCCTAAAAATACCCTGTCCATCACTTGGAAAAGAACTGGTCTCGGTAGATTGATTTAAATCAAAGCAATTGAAATCACTGATTTTAATCATTATTTAAATCTGCAAGCAGGAAGCCTTGATTTAAATAATTGATTTTAATCTTGTTTTGCATTTGTACTTTTTACCCCTTTTTCTAAAGATGGGCTGATCTTCATTGGTTGGTAAGCATTAAAACATACTGATTTGCAACTACACCGCTACCTCGATATAATGCGAATTCGGATATAACGTGGTAAAGCAGTGCTCGGGGGGGGGGGGGATGGGGGGGAGAGGGAGGCTGCGCACTCCGGTGGCTCAAAG